TCCTCACATCCTCCCAGGTGCCTGGGCCGAAATGCAGCCTGCTGCCAAGGGTCTGGACTGTGAGGAGGGAGAGAAGAATTCTGACCTCGACCAGTTTGTCAAGGAAAGAGTTGTTTTTCTAGAGTAGCTTGCCCTTCAAATTCATGTTGGCCTTAATTAAAGCCATGCTGCGTGTCCAACTCAATTCTTAAGTGTACATCCTTTTAAACTTGTAAATGAAGGCCAGAGGGTGCTGGGGATGTCTTGGGGAAAGGGAATAATACCAGGGTAAGCCTAGAGGTATTTTGTTTCATTTCAAGTTTGATTTGCATTGCTTATGATAGAAGAATATATAGTATGCTAACAGCTACAGTGAGCAGTACATTTTGGTAACAATGTTGACAGACTTTCTATTAAAAACATTCTTCTGTCCAATTTTTAATGCAAATACAGTAAGAAACCAGTAGTTTAGGAGTTCCATGTGTCTTCTTTAATATAAGCCTCAATCCTTCAAGCACATGCCTTCCTTTGATGTTCCTGATGAAAATTATTGACATTACCTTGTTAGTACTTCTACATGAGGCTTGCGCACTTCTATGACTTTTTTTGTGTTTGGCTATAGCATTTTTCTGGCAAACTTGAGGGTGGTACAACTTTGCTTCATAGGGTTGCACTGCTAACTTTCATAAAGGAAACTTTGGCCTTGATTAGACATGACCTGTATTTCTGGAAAGATGACACAATTATTAGAATAGTGTCTTGAAGAAAGAGCTTAGTTTACCATTTTTTATTTCTATGTGAATCAAGATATCTTTGGCTGTCTTAAAGATCAGGCTCTGGAGAGTGGAGGATCAACTTAAATTAGAAATTCTTTTGGCTGTTGTTTTCTGTTAATGTGTATATCTTCCTATGACAGGTGATTCATCTTTGTATTCTATTATCCTAGAGTCACACTCATAAAAAACTACTTTAGAAGGCCTAGAACTGCTTCGGGGTGGTTGTTGCTGAAGGGAGTATTACCTTTTCACTTGACCTATCCCTTACAATCTTGGAATTCCACAGGTTTCTCTAGTTGTAATGAAGCCTCTGTTGGGCTGGTTGTTACAGCCATTAAAATAATTGAATACCATTGCAAGGTAAGCTGTAATCCTATTTGCAGTATTTTGAACATAGTTTCTCAGTAAGCCCGTTTTTGGTCATGGTTTAGAGCTCTTAGCCCTTTCAAGAAAATAGGATTAGGATTTTTTGAGTTTACATTCTTGAGTTTCTCCCTTGAATTTAGGAATACAACAAGCAAACTAATGTTGTCATGCCCACTTCAAATGTGAAAAACAAAGGTTTAGTTTTATTGTGATCCTTCAGCCTTTACTGTTTGTTCTAAAATGTATTCTTTTATGCTTCCTCTTAATGAAAAAGTGTGTGGAGGTGCATGTGTACAGACACCCCCAGATAAGAGACTTTTTGTGTTGTGAGGGTAGAAATGATAGCTTCATATCCAGAAGTTTGTTTTCAAAACTTGGGGCACACTGAGAAACTGATACTTTCTGTGAAAGCTTAGTGTGGTCACAGAATTGTGGGCATCTACAGAATGAACTTAATACCTTTTACAAGTGAGCTGCGAATGTTAAAATTTGAGTAAAATTTTCAGGCAGCTTTGTTTCTGGATAGTGTACCTGATACTGTTTTATTTTCCTTCTGAGGAAAACTGTACCTGATTATCTGGAAACTCGGTGTTTCTGTTATGAAGTGATTCTTCCATATTATGGAATTAATAGTTACTGGTTTCCCCTCCATGCAGGAAGAATTGCTAATGGTCACAGATGCTGTAATGGTCTTACAGTAATGTTTATTTTTGTTGTGAAATGAAAACATAGAGGGCCTTCGAAATCCTCATTTTGAGTTGAAGTTATTTATTGGCAGAATACAATGTTTTAAAGTAAGAATATGCAAAAATGTCATTGAAGTTATAACCAGATGGTATGGTCTTGACAGTTTTCAAGGTAGAAAAGAATTGTTTTAATAGATACAGTTTGGAAAATACTGTGTCAGAAAACCTTAATGGCTCATTTTCCCAAAGTCTGCACGAGAACATTTTGATGTTCAGCAAATGTGGCCATTGAGGGATCCCAGAAGGAAAGCTTGCCCACTGTGAGATTTTTCTCTGCAAAGCAGTGTTTAGTGTTAATGTGATCTTGTGGTGGTGTTTTTCTCTTCAGTGAATTTTCTAGCTGTATTTGAATGACAACTTCTGTTCCTATGAGGAATGTATATCCTTAGTAATTAAACCCCTTGTATTTAAAGGGCATATTTCAAAAACTAAGAAGTTCCTGTTAGTTCAATAGACTAGTAAATGCTGTCTGATGTGGTAAGAAAGCAGCACTATCTTTGCAGTTTTGAGGCCTAATTTATGTTTTATCTGTTTGGATTCTTTGTGAGAGTTGGTGATGTAAATGATTTGAGTGGTGACAGGAACACTGAAAACAAAAGAATATTTTCTAGTACTGACTGGTACTAACAATGTTTTCTAGCAAACAGTCTTCTCTTTTTCTTCCTTAGAAGATTTCTAAAATTAGCTTTTATTTCTGGGCTATTTTACATTTTAATGTTACAGTGGAGATTATTTATAATCATATCTTGGTAGATTTTTCCCCTCAACAAGTCTTTTCCATACTTCCTTTTGCATATTTACCATTTCTTATTGCCTGTATTCCTTGCCCTGTCCCATTTGCATCCTCTTAATTTCTCCTTTAGGCAAAGTGTAGTTTTCAGAAAAAGATTTTGTGAGAGGTTTCCCACTCCAATTAAAAAGACTATATTTAATCATTACTTTAAGCCAGTAGCAAAATGTGTTTTGTTAATCATATTGGCCAATTGCAAATAAAATTGTAGAAATACGGGGCATCCTCAGAAAGTGTATGACTGTTATAGAAAATTCTTAAGGTAATGTTTCAAACACCTGCTTATGTCTGTCTTCTCTGAAAAATCGATTTTCCCTGATTCTTGACTTTCAGACTGAGAGACACTAGAGGGATAAAAAAGGAAACATGGGTAGGATAGAAAACAGAGGTATGTGATATTAATGCTTGAGCTTTCTACTGAAACTAATCTTTGTCACTGAGAGTGTTCAGGTTTGCTAAAATGTTAAATTTATCACATCTTGTGGAGGCAGATACTTTGTTTATTGCTGCTTGATTTTGTTGAAATAACTCCTTGTTGGGAGGAAATAGTTTTGTTTTCTTCAGCCCTGAGTCTGTATGGCTACTGACCTTCTTGAATTGTTTTCAGTCTTGCTGATTTCCTCATCAAACAATTGAAGGCACATACCTGAATGGTTATAGTACTTAGCTTAACATGTTAGGCATCAACAGCCAGTTAAAATGGTTTTCTCCTTTCTAGCCAAGGTCAGAGGCATAATTATGACTGTTTTGGAGCAGAGACTTTTTGGCTGAAATAACTTAAGGCTGTAGTTAAAGTGAGAGGCTTTGTATAATGGACTTGACATACTTTGCTAAATTGCTTTTTCCCATTTTTTTGTACAATGAAGTGGGTTTTTTCCTCTATTCAAAGCTACATAGTTGCTATCCATACTTAGCTTTGTGTATGACTTGTTCTGTAACATTTTTTTTTTTCTAGATAAGAGTTCTTCCTGAAGGGAGGAGGAGTCATTCTTACAGGTTGTGAATCCTGAACTTTTCTGGATTAATTTAGTTGTGGGATTTAGACTACAGGACTGAAAAACAGGCAGTATAGCTGTCTTCTATATTCTTGTTGAATATTATCAAATTTCTAGTTTTCCTGAAGTATGAGCACCAGAAGAAATCACAGCAGTGCATCAGTGGTCTTCTGGTAATGCAGATGGCATAAAAGAAGAGAAAGGATGCTACAATTTGTGTCAAAAGAATTTCATGAATTCTTTGTTAAAGTGTTGCAGTGAAATCTGTGTTTGTTTAGCTTTGATTCTGGAGTTTGCTCAGAGCTGTTGTCTTGTGTTACACAGGATCCTTTTATGTTGGAAGGTGGTAATTAAGCCAGTTACACTGTAAGTTTCTCAGTTTGGAGACCACTATTGAAAGGGCAGAATGTGGTCACAGAGGAACAGAACTCCTCACTCAAGCAAGAAAAAAGGAAGGCAACTAATAGGAAGAAGCTGCTGTCAAACAGAACTTTTTCTGTATCTCCCAGTCTTTTCCCTTTACCCCAAATGTTCAGTGTGGAAATGAAAGTAACTTTTAAGTAGCTATTTTTAAAGTAAGGTTAAATAAAATTATGAACTTTGAAACCATTAAAGTTCTGTCTGGTTAATTTGGTTCACTGAAATTTTCCTGAATGCCTTTTAGCTGAGGAAATGGAGAGAACTAATTTTGGCCTCTTCTCCTTCCTGTCATTACTGTTACTCCATCATATATAACTTAAAACTTTGTTTTAATTCTCTGGTAATTACCAGATTTGCTAAACAGATTATGCTTTCTCTTGCCTTTCTGGATTTGAGTCTTGCTTAGTTTCTACATAGCTTATTGGTTTGCAGCATCCTGGTTTAGTCTCTTTCACTGGCTGTGGAACTATTCTGGGATACAGTCATATTTAAATCTCTTGGGCTGAGGGAGGAACTGGGTTTCCAAGCTTCTGGATGTTTTAACTGTGAAATGTTTCACAAAACTCTCACTGCTATTATATATGTGGCTCTCACTGTCTCTTCCTGAACAGAAGTAGCTGTGAATGCTATTCCTTGTGTTATATTGGAGACAAGTGAGGCATGTTCCAAATACCTCATGAAATTCTGTTTGTTTTGGATTTACTTACAGCAATGTCACCTTCCCTGAGTAGGTGACTAAACTGCATCTTAGTTGCAGTTCTGCAGGTATTAAGTAACAGGCACTTAATTTTCTAGTGAGAAAAGCATCAGTATATGTTCACATGTGTCTTAAGTGGGCAGACATGGGCATTGTCTGAAGTAAGATACTTCAGTTTATACTATCACCGGAATTTCCATTTGGGTGTCCCTCAAATTCTGTTTTCTTTTTGTCCTCTTAACTGTTGTGCAGGATGTGTTTAAATTATGTGTTGAGAACCCCAAAGGTTTATTTTTCAACTAATTCTGGTTTAACTCTAGAAATTTCTAATAATTCAGTAACAGCTGTCAAGTGTTTCATGAGTGATTTAAAATTAGAAACATTCAGATTATTTCACAGCATAGTTTGAAACCAAGTTTCAAAATGTCTGTAGAATTATGGGAAATGCACATATCTGAAGAGGAATTATTCCTCTGAATTGACATTTTCAATGACTGGATTATTGGAATGACTCCAATTTCTTATCATTCTGCTTTATATGTGTGAGAAAATACCTTTATGTTGGGTTTGCAATCTCATTCTAAATCTTATTTTGTAGCAAGAATTGGATAAATCAGGTAAGGTTACAACAATAATCAATACTTCTGTTCTATCAGTATAAGCATACCCGATTGAAATACTGGCATTCCACAAGTGCCAGTGGAGGCAGAATTTGACTACTTGTTCCTGCATTAGTGTGTTGTAGTATATATGTAAATTCATACTACGTGTGCCTTGTTGAGAATTTAATTGCTGAAGAGAAGAAAAATATCTTGATCTTTTTTTTTTTAACTCTCCCTGTTTCTGAATCTAGCTTGCTGTTCACTGATGTTGAAAGTTTGGCTAAAATGTTTTTTCAATTCCTCTTTCATTTTCGTTTCCTTAAAATATTCACAAAGTTAATTGTCTGGGGTTTAATATTATCTAAGTTCAGAGTTTGGGAAAACTTGTTAGTGGCTCAGCAACATGTGTTCTGGGCATGTTCCACGTAGTGATATGTGAATGTTTTTTAAATTGTTTGATACAAGATGTCATTCTGACAATTCTGCTCTCAAACTGAAAGAATAAGAGGGTTTTAGAGGATTTGGAGGCTTTTGGGCAGAGAGGAGCAACTAGGTAACTAAAATTAAGGGCAGTGGGATTTGACTGTAGGCTTGCCTAAGGAACAATGTAAGTTAGTGGGATGGGATCAGGGGAAGGACAAATCTGAAACCTAATGGAGAAGAAACTGAGTAGATTGAGAAGCATCTCTTCACATCTGACTGCATTGGAGGAGTGCAACTATAATAACTCTCGGTGGATGGGCACATTTTTAAAATGGGTATATTCTTACAGGTATATTGACTAATTTGTGACAGGAAACAGTATAAATTAAGACAAGTGAAATAGGTCATATCTTTGCACGTAGGCCAGTAAAACTAAAATTTATCAGTTCAATGATGCCTTTTTCTGAACATCTTCCTCAGAATTAAGATGTCTGAAATACACATCCCTAAACCATCCAGTCACAGTTTTAAATAGTTATATTAATTGTGATGACCCTGAAAGTAGCTATTTTGAGTTTATTGCTACTGACAGAATAGTCTTTCCAGTATGTGAAAATGAACATCTATTTTTATTAACAACCAGTCTTAACTTTAAGCTAATCACAAAATTAAATGAATAGTTTAAAAGCTTGGGGTTTTTAGTAGTTAGCAAAGAGATATGTGTTGGTGTCTGTTGCTTTCAGAAGCCAGTTTCTATCATGGGTTCTTAATTTACATTCCAATTATGCAGATTTCTCAGAGGAGCATTGATCTAAAAACTCAGTCTTCGTTTAAGCATATCTACAATAAGAATAGGTCCGTGTAGGCATTCATATTTTACAAACCTTACTGTCTAAAAAAACAGATTAAAAAAGTAAGGAGCAGCAGCAATTCCTGTTTCATCTGAAGATCTTCCTAAAGCATGTTCACCTGTTCTCCTTTTGCAAGTTTAATAGAAGAAGAGTTTGAGGCTTGGAGGTTTTGTACTGCTCTAGTTGCATGTAGTTTGTGTTCAGTAAGGTAACAATTTACAAGTGTAGAATGTGTAGTCTTTTTAAAGAAAACAATTCAGTGCAATTATACATATATATATATATATATATATATATATATATATATATATATATATATAGTGCACATGGTCAAAAAAAGTTATTTTAACATCTGTTCTCTGGCACTTTGTGGTCTGACATGCTGATGCCTGTAAGTTTGAGAACTCAAGCTTAAGCTAGTGATGCTTAATATACATTCATCAGTACACAGATTCTTAGACTATCTACTAATTTGTGTTAATTGTAATTTTTCCAAAACCAGCTTTCTATACCTGCCCTACACACACCTTGTTTTCTAATTTCTTTCTTTGAATAAGAATCACAGAAACTATTTTTCTACTGAGTAATCTTGTGTTCCTAAATATCATTATAGTAGACAGATGTTTTTAATCAATTTCTTATGCCATGCTTTGTTTGCTTGAGACTAAAAGAAATCCTGTGTACCTAGTAGATGCTTATATTGAAACTTGATAAATCTCCTTTTCATCTTTTCATACAAATGCTTTAGCCTTACAATAATTTCTTTATTTGCTAGATAAATCAGATAAATATGATTCTAGAGATGTGGAAAGACTTCATCAAGATGATAAATGGGTTGAAAATTATCTGCTTTGGCGTCATGATGTTGTGGATGATACATTAAAGATGATTGATGAAAGCTTTCAGTGGAGGAAAGAATATACAGTTAATGGTAAGCTATGTTATAGATTGACTTTGTGTTGCTTTCTTATTGAACTACAACTGACTTCTATATGTAGTTTCATTAAGCACATTTTAAAGGTTTTGTAAGTACTGCATAGCTGAGCAAGAACTTTTGTACTCAATTAAAAAAAAAAAAAAAAATTACTGCTTTTTATGTTGACCACCACTGTCTCACTGTTGTGGTTCCATATGTCTACTGAAAGGTGATTTAAGTGGAAGAAGGCCAGGCAGTTCTCTTGTCTCTCTATTTGCTAGAATGGAGTCCTTAAAGGCAACAACAAAACCCACAAAAAAACAGGGTTCTGTTGTTCATCATAGTAGCACTGATCTGACACCCTAGGTAGAGTAGATGTGGGGTTTGTCCTGTGAGAATATTTTAAAGCTGAGCTCTGCCTAGAGGACTTTACAATCTGAATTAAAGGATGGAGCAAGAGGGGCTTCAGATACAAACAGAAATAAACATTTGCAGCTTCTCACATCAAATTCTATTCTTATTTCTTCTTAAGTAAATCCTACTCTGCAGCATGAGAGGAAGATAGTAAAGATGTCAAATGAGCTCACTATTTGCATTAGTTTAATAAAGGTTTTAGAAACTGATTTAATAAAGACATTTTTGTATTGTTAGACTTCTGCATTTTTAGTGACTTCTATTAAATTGCAATGTGATTATTAATACTGAAATAATCTTTCATTTGACTTGCAGACTTGACAGAATCTTCCCTTCCAAAATGGTTATTTGAAAATGGTGCACTCTTTCTTCATGGATATGATAAAGAAGGCTATAAATTATGTAAGCTAAACAGAATACAGTACTTCCAGTCATTGATCATTATTTTTTGTTTCCATCATTTTAGCATTTAGTTTGAAAAATAAATGTTTTAGAAGTATTTAGGTACGTACTAGTAACTGTTTTTACGAAAATTGATGACAAGTTGGTAACTGAATATCTTTTTGGATCACAGATGTGGAATGAGGAAACTCAGCAGTTTCCAAATATCTTAAACCTTTATCCTAACTATAATGCAGTTTTTAACTTTACTGTTGAAGTGCATTGTTTCTGTAACTCCTGTGGTGAGTTTACGACTAGTATAAATGTTCACTATTACAGTACATTGTCATTGCTCTTTAGCAGCCTATGTTCTTGCATGCTTATGGTGGTTCACAGGAGGTCTGTAATAGTTTTCTTTTGTCTCTTACAATTTTTTTCTGATCTTATTGGAATGTTCAGTAACAGTGTGAACAGCTGAGAATTGTTGGAGAATGAACTCTCAAGTTGTGTGATTAGCTTCCTGTAATGAAAGAATAAGATCTGTAGGGAAACAGTAAATATTGCCTGAAATCCCCTGGAGTTTTTATAAGTGTATAATAGATGGTCAGTATTTTTTCTATAAATTAGTCTGTGTCAGTATTTTTTCTATAAATTAGTCTGTAACATCTCACATATTTACTTTTAATTAAGTTTAAATCCTATGAAGCAAAAGAGTATTTTTAAACAAATCATTCATGAAGCTTTCCAAGCAGTGATCTTGAACCTTAAAAAAAAAATTTAAATCTGAAATACTGCTTTTTCTTGGTTTACCAGGCCTGGTTTCTACTTCTGAAATACACTAACTATCCAGTGTTTTACAGAAATGCCTGTTTTAAACACCAGAACACTAGTTTTCAAAAAAACAATAGCCAGAAAAATACAGCTTTTATTCTATGGCAGTGTTGTGTCAGATTGAGCTTTTTATTATTATTGTAAGATATCACTGCTATATGAAAAATTGATGCATTTTTGTTTCATGATTTTTCTCTTAGCCTCCAGTGTAAGTATTCAAGGATTAGTGGTGGTGATACCTTTAATAGCATTTAGAAAGCTGAGCATGATTATACTGGATGGTTCCATTTGGTGAGGTAGGGGGTGGAAGTAGAAAAACATGACTTCCTTGCATAATTTTCTCAGTCCAAACACTGATGCAAGTGTTTCATGACAAGAATGTGTAAGTCAAGTAAATAATTTCTGATTTTATTTTCACTGAAACATAACTAATGGCTCAGTTTCCCATACCTGGAATGTTTCTTCTGTGAATGTTAATTGAGTCACAATATCAGACTTGGTATGCAAATTCAGAAGGTATCATAGGTAACAGTTCCTGGTTAGTCAACACTTGACAAATGTGTCTCTTGGGCCACATGTTCCATTCTCATTGTGTTATGTAAAACAGCACTTTAAAGAAGTTCTTCAAGAATTATTGTTTACTTTCACAAGAGTCCTGTTTTTGAATAGGGGTGTCTTTGAAAATCCGAACTTACAGCATCTAGTTAATATGCTAGGTTTAAAAGAAAGCTTGTTTCTTTACATGCACCATAAAATATTTTTATTTACAATTGGAAGTAAAAGACATGGAGAATAAATTTGGTTTTCAGTAAGACTTTTCAAGTTTCAGGGAGAACAATAAATTTATCTACAATAATTTTCAGGGCTTGTGTAATGTTGGTATTGTAGAAGCACCAAAACTGAAGGCTGCTCTTTACATTGTGGTCCTGAATATTTCTTTTATCACTTCATTGTATAAGCAGTAATTTGGTTTCAGGCACTTTTATAAACACTGTTACTTTGACATACACTACTTTTCATGGCAAAACTTGTCTCTGCATGACTTGTTTCTTATTTGAGATAGGATGTATTGGGCTTTCATTTGTACAGTGTTGCTCATCTGGGTTTTTTCACTTCATTTTAGAAAGGTCTGATGCTTTTCATATAATTCAATGTGTATAAATAATTTTTCAAAACACATACTACAGTGCTGTAGAAGACCTAAGCACAAAAAGAAACAAATTTCACGACCCCAATGATACTTAGAATCTATGCAAAATATAATATTTTCTGAGGACTGTGTGATTTAATTTGCAATTATGAAATTATAGTCTGGGTAAGAAGTAGTCTTTAAATAAAAGAAGTATTTTCTACTATTTCTTCTGTGTTATAATTCTTTGTATGATCACTTTCTAAAAAGTTCCAGTATAAAAATGTGAGCAAGGCAAGGGGTGTGTGGAAAGGTGTGCAGTTGTTTTTATGGCTGTTCAGTGGCCACAGAATCAGTAGAAATGTGGAATACAGACTAAGGTGAATAAATCGGTTCATCCCATATAACTATACATCATGTTTTCTGCTAATTTGGATCTGGTAATTCAATTTTTGTGTGTTTTTTCTTAAGTTTGGTTTAGAGTGAAGCATCATACAAGAGATCCTAAACAGCAACTTGAAAAAAAGAAGCTGGTTGCTTTTTGGTTAGAACATTATGCCAGGAGAGATCACGGAAAGCCATTAACAGTGGTATTTGACATGGCTGAAACTGGAATCAGTCACATAGTAAGTATTTTTGTGTCCTTCTGATTGCTTTCTGAATTATTTAATTTATGCCCCCAGAAAAAGGAATCCCTGTGCAGTCCCTGACACCTAAATAAGTTAGCAGTTGCTCAAATCAATGAGTAGATTTTGTCCCTGTGACATGAGCAGTTACCAGAATCTTTTGTTACATAATTAAAGTTTCAAGTCTTGTGTAACACACTGAAAACTTGCTTTTAGTTTGGTGACTGAGCCAAAGTTACTGAAGCTCAGCAGCTTGATTTGTCAGACATCATGCATGACAGTAGTAGAATCTAGTTTTTAAGCACCCAAAAGACAATAGACTGAGTCATCTTTATTGTGAGTACAGTTGCTGCTGTTTCTTCAATAGCTCCATTTTCACTGTTGTCATCTTTTTTGGATGAATCAATGTAAAGTATGGGAAAATGGGGTAATGGTGAAGCATTAAAATCCTCAGATGCAGTCGCAGGGATCTTTTAGAATGATGATCTGTTCTGACAAGTCAGCATCTTCAGTTGACAATTCTGATCCTAGTCCTGCCTCCATGCTATGTAAGCTGTCTCCATACATTTAAATTGTGTTAATTTCTTAAATCTCTGCATGCATCTCTCCACCCATTGAATTTTCTTGTGAAGAGAAGTTAGCTGGATGCAGAAGAGCAGGTCATCAAGTAGACATTGCTTTTAGGATTCATTTTAACCAAATATAGCTGAAGTCTATCTTTTCTCTAACTAAATATTATTATAGTAATGAAACTAATATGGTGAAGAAATCTACATGCTTGTTGTGTACAGATAGAGAAGAAATGAGGGTGTCTGAATTTGTACAGATGTGATAGACTTCTGAATAGAAGGCCTGTCTATCAGTTTTTACTTCAGGAATAATTATCTTCACTCCCTCTTTAAGTTTCTTGTCCAATCTGTCAGCTTTACTGAAGACTGCTTCTTCCAGGCTTATCCTTACATAAACAAGAGATTCCAGCCTTTCATTCAGAGGAGACACTTTTAGCAAAAGTTTCTATGCATTTCTAGATTTTCTTTAGTACTACAAAATGAAGGAGGAGCTGTGTAGCTCAGTCATGTCTGTAAAAGTGATGACTATTGAAAAGGTTGCAATTAGATAAGAAAATTCCAGTGATTAAGAGCAGGGCTTCACCTTTTGCCTTGGACTTAATTGTAGAACTGAATCATTAGAGAAGCCAAGAAGAATTACACTGGTTTTGGAAACTATTCCGGATAACTATCTCCCATTTGTACAATAACTTAGAAAATTCAGTTTCTTCAGTTTTAAAAATGTTTCAGAAATAATTACTTGAAATACCATTTTGTAGCTATTTGGGAATAAGTATAAAACTAATTCTATATCAATTAGTTATAGTCAGTAGTCAACTTCAGGAATTACTTGGAGACTTCTGTTGTTATACATAGGACTGGGTAATTCCCTGCCTGAAGTAAACTTCAGAGAATGTTTAATTTTAGATGCTTATTGGAATTTAGCAAATTCTTCATGTATGTTATATGAAACTTCAGTGTATTTCAGAACTGTTCCTGAATTGATGTCCTTAACAGTTAAGTCCTGTGCCTATTTGGAAAAGTAGAAGACTTGAAGAATGTGATTTGGGGGGGGTTGAATTTTCAAAAGGTTTGGTTGTCTCTTTGGCCATAATATTTACTGAATTGATCCTGAAAACATTGCTGTAGAATGTTAAAAATTCCCCCAAAATCCTCCCTGTGGAGTGTTCTTACTTTAGAAAACCAGCAGTTGAGTATTTTTTTTAACTTTTACTGAAGCTTTCACACAGCACGTAAGTATCTGGTTTTGACCTCTGGAATTTCATAGTGTTCAAGGACACTAGATATTTGATTTTGCTTCAATGATTCTTGTACACTCTCTAGACCTGTTGTAACTTGGCATCCATACATACACATTTCTTTGAGGAATGCTAAACTATACTGAGATTGTAGTGTGATGGCATAAAAGCTGTGGCATGTGGAGTGGGGCTGCTTCTAGTCTGAGATGGAGGTTCAGCGCAGTATGGTATTTTTCCATTGTTTTCCATTGCAGTGCAGAAATGCTGTTATTTCAGGAGTCAAATCAGTTGCCTTAGTGCATATTCCTTGTGAACAGTTTTTCTGATATGATGGATTTCAACCTACAAAACATACAAGAAACTCATTTTGTTCACTTATTTAAGCATTTACTTTAGTAAATTGAGGTAAGAAGCTTTTGCTGATGCCCATTGGTATTCTGTTGTATGTGTCAGCACTTTTATGAGGACCAAAATTACAAACTATTCCTTGGGGAGTTGTAAATACATTGTAGTCAAAGACAGAGTTGTCAACTGCATGCTGTGGGTTTTCTTTTTTCTGGTTCTTTTCATTTCCCTCACTTGGAGATAATTTTTGATCCCAGTACTTTCTTCTCCCTTCTCAACACTCATCAGTGTACTGACTGTTTGTACAATGTCATCTGGACTTTTTATGTATTTTCTAGAAGTTTTTTAATACATATTTTGCTTGTAAGATTACTCCTTAGTTGGATTTAGGTATGTTTTATTAAAAATCTGCTTGTTCAAAGGCTGGTCCTGTTACAGAGCAGAAGTTCTGGTTAATATCTGGATCACTAGATTTATTTAGTTTGAAGTGCACCAGGTGCAGTCTTTGTTACATGTCATCTTTACAGTGAGTCCTTAAATTCACCAGACCTAGGGGTTTTTTGTGATTCATTTTAGGTATGAGTCTGAGCATCAGTTTGTGTATAGCTTTATCTACAGATGCTGCTAATACAGTGAATGATATACTACCACTACAAGTACAACTTTATCTGTTTAGTGGCATAGAATGAAGCTGCAGCTTTCTTATTGGTTGGGGTCCTCTTCTAAAATTTGGAAATGAAAATGTGTTTTTTAAACTTGGGTAATTTATGAGTGAATGTATATTGTAGTATCTCTCTCTTCCTTTAGGTCTGGTTTTCTACCTATTAGTATCTTTATAAAGAAAGCATAAATGCATATCCATAGTTTACTATAGGCATCTTTAAGATTTGCTTTGTAGAAGCTTGTTTAGAACATTAGAACAATATCACCTCTTGCATTTTTACTGATTCTCAACTTAGACAACCTAAAATCAGGAATTTTTCTGAGTGTTGGAAGGAGGCAACATTTGAGTAATTTTAATGTAGGTAGATGAAAATCTAAGTTCTGTCATTCCCTTCAACTGAGTTCATTAGAAAAAAAGTGTACATTTTTAGCACTCACTTTCAGGAGCATGATCTAAGCTGGTTTAGATGGCAAGATGGAGATCTTGCCTATCATTACATATTTATAATCTAATAACTAAAAATCTCATAGATTGGGTACAGGTAAAAACAAATCTTATTTCTATGGAGTATTGAAATTTTTGCCAAATGCCATGCTGTCCTGTTTTTCTTAAATGGCCAAAACTTGTGTCTTGTTTGTTCTTTTTTTGTTGGTATGACTGGAATGCACTTAAATATAAGCAAAGAAGTTTTCTTTCTACCTTTTCCAGGCAAGATGGTTTAGAACCTGGCATCTGTGCAGTACAGGGCCATAAGCTTTTGAGAGGATATTTTGACAAATATAGTGCAGTTCAGTTTTGCAAGGCAAGGTTGATGCTCTTACATGTGCCTTGAGCTGTCAATCCATATTGCTAAAGATAATACTGGAGCTTGGTTTTATATAACAAGAATTAAAGGATTGTAGTGATTTCCTTGATGTGAAAAAGCAACTTCGTTTGGGTTTTATGGAATGTGTCCTGAAGCAGCTTCTTTGTGGTGTCTTTGAGACTCCCAGAAACACAGTTTCAGCAGTTCCTGTCTTTAAGTGTCCCGTTATACAGTCTTGACTTGTAGTTAGTACATTTATCACAGAACGGGAATATTTTTTAATGGCTTTTTGTAGCCATGTAGAGTAATTGATAAATTTTATTCTAAAATAACTTGGTTTTCTAAGTTCTTTTCTAGAGTGTGTTTCATTTATTTGTTCTGTTGCTATGGACATCTACTCTCAGTTTTTATCCCTGGTTTGCAGCCAGGTAATTCTGATAGCTCATGCCTTGTTGCACCAGTCTAGGTAACTAGAATATATGCAGCTATTGAATGATCTGCTGAAATCTGTACGCCTAATTCCAGATTTTCATCAAAATAATGGATCCATCCTCCTAATACTTGATAATGCTGGTTTTGAATAGGCAGCAGAATAAAGAGGAGCATCTTGTTAATGCACAGGAGATTCTAATAATTGCTTGGAAATCTATCACTGTTTATGCTATTAAATTAAATGAAATGCTATTAAATAAAACTCTTACAGGTTGTTGGGTTTTTTCTCTGTCCGCAAATGTTATAATAGTGTGTTTACACCACTTCAAGATCCTGTTCCCTGAAACATTTTTACTGTTATGACAGGTATTGGATCCTCCATCAGTAAGATACTTTTATTTCTGAAATTAGTAGCAGTAGTGGTTGTTTCTGTTAGAAGAACTGGAGAAGGGATGAGTACTCATGGCAGGCTTTGCACCTAACCAAAGTACCTTATTGTGATAAGGTATCCCTTACTTTATTGTCTATACCTGTTTCATAAAATGCTTTTTTTCCCATTTCTGTGTAGTCCTATTATACCTGAATTTTGTAATGGGAAATTGGCTGTACTATTTCTGTATAGCTGCTCATTGGATGGAAGCACCCTGAAAATGGGTGGTATACAAGCAGCTCTTGAGTTCTGCCTCTGCCCACAACTTTTCTGCATACCACAAGCTAATACTAAAACCAAAAATTCTCTTAAAAGGAAAACTTTTTTTTTTTTCTGGAAGATCCTGAGTTCAGTAGTATATTGAACATTACGCCAGGTAAATTACTGAAGGGAAATTTCAGTATGTTTAGTGCTCTCCTCTGTAAGGCTTTAAGATAATGTCAAGCGTCTCTGGTGCTAAAGGCTTATTTTTCCTGTATCTTTCTTGTACAGCTTAAAACCTGTTGATACTCCACAGAAGTTCAGATACCTAACTTACTGCATTTATAATAGGTCTGTTGACTACTTAGAACATAAAGTTAAGTTTGACCACAATCCTGCAACAGTTTAATGAAAAGCATTGCTTTCAGTTTGAATGATGTTTGTAGTATCTGTAAAACTTGAGTATAGATGACTACAATATTAGGTACATTGTGCCATTCAATAAATGTCTTAGCTTAACTAAGCCTATATTTTTAATGTTTTGACTACATGGCATTTGTTCTGTGCTTTTATTTTAGGACTTGGATTTTGTTCGTTTTATTGTCAACTGTTTTACAGATTATTACCCAAACTTCCTCAGTAAGTATTGCACATTAAATCTTAAGCACTGTAGACTTGTGCAATAAAAGTATTCCATAATATTGCAGATGATGGGGGACATGAAGTATTTCTGCATGTGCTTTATATGGTGACTACGTGGAACACATGGATATTTGAATTTGGAATATTTTTGTGCTTGTAAGTCAGCACAACTTTGTATTGTAAATTAACTTTACATTCATCAAGAATCAACTGGCTTTTCATGAAATAATAACCTAAGGCATGTTTATACAGATGAAAAAGTGATATAAGCATCCAGTAGAACTGAAATGTCCTGTTTTTCCCTTTGTTTCTTGTTACTTGTGTAGAAGCTTTGCAAACTTGCATGACAGTTTGTATCCTTTAGGAGTCTTCAGGGGTCAAAGAATGAATTGCTATAGAAAATATTAAGAAACAATGGTTTACTCCGAACAGGAAAAACCTGCATAATTGCCTGTTAATTTTTTTGTGGATAGGCTTGATCACCTTAAATGAGTTATAAATTTTAGGTGAAAATGTGTCATGAGTATTGAAATACTGTATAGCAGCTGCTTAAACTCTCAATTTGATAAAGTTCAAAACTTTGATCAAATATCAAACTTAAAGTCAAGTGCAATGTGTTTTTGGTTTTTTGACATTAAAGAAAAATTTTGGGATGCTTTGAGTCAAAGTACTAACTTTTCAGATTTCTCTGATTAAACAAATCTGGGAAAAGTCAATTTACAAAGACTTGCTATTTCTATCTTTGGAAAGAAGAATATACCTGTTAAACTTCCTTTTCTATTCAGTGTCGCTTTTCTACACCAGGTTGAGATTTTGCCTTTCTCTGCCTTGTTTGGGGAGATTATCTGTTGGTAACAGTGTGTTAGAAAAGTAGTAGTATCCTAGAAGTGTATAAACAGTGTATAATTTAGGATTTTAAGTGTTTTCTAAGCGAAACAGCTAATGTTTTTATATAGTAATAGAAATACGTTTATACATATTAAAATCAATTCTACAAAATTGCTTCTATGGAGTGAACATGGATGTTTCTAAAAATAAGTACTCGCTTTTTACATAACTGATATTGCTGTGATTTCTCCTAAACAGAAATACATTACACTTGGTATCAGATTATTTCCTTTTTGTCTTTTCAGCAAAGATAGTGATCTTTGAAATGCCATGGATAATGAATGGTGAGTTGTTTGGCTTTTGTTTTTTACATCATGATAACTTTTTAAAATTAGCAGTATAAATAGGAAGCATTTTTCTGCTCTGTGTAGATACAGCTGAATCGTGGTATTTTTTTAAACATGCATACTTAAATCTCTCAATCTGTAGGTTGCATACTTTTTCATTTCCTTCTAGCATTGTATTTTGAATCATATCTTTAATAGAGTCTGTATTCATCCTGTGATCTTTAAAGGTTAAGAGACCTTGATAAACAGTCTATTCCTTGAATGTTTCCAGCTGTAATCCTTTCAGACTAGATCTGTTCATGATTTAGGAATACTATCAACAGATGATAGAGACTTATACCCAGCCAAAACATAGAATTTACAATTTAAGATAGATGCTTGACATCAGACACTGATACCGTTACATATGTTTTGATGTGTGTACTTCAATAATGATAATTAATTCTAATGTACAGGATAAACATCATTCCTGTATTTTCAGAATATATTTTTATGTAGGCTTTAGATCTTTCTGTATGTTGATGTTCTACCATCACTGAAATAACTGTAGTGTTTGGAAATACTTTGTAGATCTAAAACAAGTGTCCTTTAAGGTAGCAAAATATTTCAACTGGGGAAGAGTATATATGTATCTTTCCCAACCTCCCTCCCCTCAAATTTGAAATACAATTGGTTTTACTCCCTCAGTACTTCCTGGGCTAAATTCCAAGACAACAAAGTCGTCATTAATTCAATACTCTTTCATGAAATTCTGTTGTCTGCCTGCATTCATCTATATAAAAGTGTATGTCCATAAAATATTTTCTCTGTAAATGATCCTCCTTTTCATGCACTATCCCCATTATAACAGATACTTTCAGAGCAGGTCCTACCATATTTTACAGGATGTAGATCACTTGTGTTCTATAAGGTCTATCAATACACTGCAAGAAAATGCTTCCTGACAACTTTGTATACCTTTTTGTTTTTAAAGCTGCTTTTAAAATTGTGAAGGGTTGGCTTGGCCCAGATGCAATAAGCATGTTAAAGTTCACAAATAAGAATGATGTACAGGAATACATCAGTGGAGAGTATCTGCCACCTCACATGGGTGGAACTGTAAGTATATTAACACTTCATGGTCCTTTTGTGATATTGAGACACACCTATATAAATTACACATGGGGCTGAGAGTTGGCATTTTATGGATGTCATATTTCTTGAAATTATCATTGGCAGAACAATTTCTAAATCACTTTAATATAGGTTAACTTCATGAGAATTTGATATCAAACAGTCTTAAATACAGAAATATTTTTTCTGATTCATTAATCCATGCTCCTAGAGCAACATGATTGTATTGGTCTATGAAAAAAGTTATATAAACAGAAAATAGGTTTCATGGCCCTCAGTTTTCATACTTCTCCAAAGCTATGATTCAGTAAAGACGATCATATTGCTCTAGGAGCAAGCTCTAATAAGCAGTCTGGAAAACTAGGCTTAGGTGCTCAAAAGCCACTTGCTCGTTGTTTTCAGTTAGTAATAAATGTATACTAAGTCACTGTTTTCCTGATTCCAAATCTGTTGTATCCCACATTCTGTTATTTCCAGCTGTTAATATTGATGGTGGAACAGTCTAATCCTTAAAGCAGACATGCTTCTGACTGGCCAGGGAGATTTGTTGCCTCTTCAGTAACATTTTGTGTAAGACTGATACAGTGTACACATTGATGCAAGACATGAATTTACAGAAGGGTTTTAGTTTGTGTAATTGCTCAGTTTTCCTTTTGTCAGAGATGGATTTAATAAGGATGGATTGCCCAAGATGCCCTCCACTGGTGCCAGTATTGAACAATGTGTGCAGTTAGAATGCTGTGCTCTTCACTTCGGTAACTAAATTGATAGCCCATAGCTTTTTTTCTTGCAAGTGCCTTTTTAGAGGTCAGTGTTCTGAAGTTAAGACATCAGGCATTTTGCATGTCACTTCATGGCCACTGTGTACATGTAATCTTAGAAAATATCACTACCATGATTAAGATATCTCTACCATAGTTGCTCAACATAGTGTAAGTTCTCTATATCTGCTATAAAATAAGGCTATTAGTCTATAAAATGGATGTATCAAGCATTGAATAAATGTCTTGTTTGAGATTTTCACCCTGTTAGTAGATAAACCTTTACATTCTTTAGAAGTAGCTGTCATAGTTTTTAAATGATGTTTCCTAGAACTAAGAACAAAACTTCAGTATTAAGGCTATGGATGCTGATCCTTGATAGACCACATTCTGCTGTGATTATAAATAACAACAGTAGTTACAACTTAGTGGCTTTATTGGCGATTACTTGTCCATTAGTGAGAAAATAAAATCTATTGGTACTGTCAGCTTTCTGCATAGGGGTCCAATTTAAAATTGAGCAGTGAAGCATGTATGTAATGTGAAATAAAAAAATTAATTTATAGTATTACCATTAAAACTAGAGAAGGTACTTTTCATAGTCCTAAATAACTGGTCCTTTAAAAACGTTGCTTATGTTTTAGGATTCATTCAAGTACAGTTATCCTCCATTGGTCGATGACGATTTTCAAACTCCCTTATGTGAAAATGGGCCCATTACTAGTGAAGATGAGCATGAAAGTAAAGAAGAGATAGATGTGGACACTAAGGAGACTGGGGACCTGAATGAAGAACAAAACCTTAATCAGAAAAAGGTATCTAATTCTGAAGGTTGAGGCAAGAGTAGTTAAATGGATAAAGTGGAAGCATTTTTTTCTTTGCCTTTGTGTGTTGATTTTTTTTTCAGCATTTTTCTGCCTTCCTGTTTGACAAAATAACCCAGTAAACCTGAAAATTATTGCAGTTTCAACCTTAATCTAAGATGCAGTTTCATGCTTCTGAATGAGTAAAATATGTACCAAATATTTAGTGTATCTCTGGAATATAGTGACGTATAGTAAAACTTAAAAAGCTTTTGTGTTTTCTATTCAGAAGTTGTCTTTCTAGTTGCTTTATTTTTAATCTCGGGTTATCTCATGGTATGCACCTTAAAATACGTCTAGTTTTCTCAGATGCTTAAGTCAGTATGTACATGAGAAAATATTAACAGTTTAAATATTTATTTTATTAGATACTAACTTGTTATCTTAAATTATTGATAAAATCTCAAAAGATAAAAGATTTCATTTAGTCTCAGGAGAACTTGTATCCCTAACCCATCAATCCTGGTTTACAATATAATTTTCCTGCAGTAGTGTTTATCCAGAAATATAAAGGCATTGTTTTACACAAGTCCATATGAAGTGATATTTAGTAATATGCAATGATAGTCAGCATATTGCTCTTGAAAATAGTAGGAAAAATTTGAAATTCACCACTTTAGTGCCATGACTAATTTTGGAATATGAATTGCAAAACTTATGCTTGATGGAGTAAAATACTTCACCCTTTCAGTTTCATTTACTGCTTTAAATTTTTTGTCAGAAGAATTTGAAATACATGGCTCACTTGAAGTAGTTCAGTTTTTTGCATCTTGGCCAGCTATTAAAAAAAATTTCACTGACCTTAAGTTCAAAAGGAAGCATTACATGAAACCTTGATTTTCTGACAATTAGACTCAGTAGCTTGTTTTGGTTGTAGCACATCTTCCAAGCTCTAATTCTCAGATAGGAAACATGGAGAACTCCTGTTAAGTGTGTGAGTTGGCTTTGGTGCTTAATAGCCTCAGTGTTTGTTTCTAATTTGCTTGGCTGATTTAAGCTTTCTACTTAAGGTATTTTTTTAACTTTCACTTTTACAAATAATGATTTAGTTTATGGTTTTCTTTTATACAGTATAATCAAGCTGCTACTCTCTTTTCAATGAACTAAGCTTGACTTTTATGCTCATCATATATCTATCTTAAGGCATGTTTAAGGCCTTACCTTTAACATACTTCTAAAATTGCAGACCGTATTGTGTTGGTACTGTTTCTGTAAACAGTAGACTATTGTTTTGCTTCAAGTCACTGTTCTTCTGTTCACATATTTAAGAATAATACTTGCTATCTCTTCCACAGCAAGTATACCACTGTTTGCCACTTCAATTTTATGTTCTTTTCCAAAATGTTTATCAGAAATATTCCCTTATCTCAGAATGGTTGGCACTTCTTATTTCTAAGTTAATTATTTTTTAGTTGATTTGTCTAAATATAAATATTGAAATATTTTTAAATAAGGCCAGCTTCCAAGTTAGCATTTCAGGTGATCTGTGAGATCATTGTCTTCATTTACTGCACTATCAGCCTTTAGATAAAGTCTTAGTGATGACAAGAATCTGCGTACGATTTATATATGTATGCCTTCTCATTCTATAGAAGGGCATATTTCTTTCCACAGAGTAGATGGAGCCATGAGTGATAAACTTGGTTAGTAAGTGCCTATCCTATAGATGCCTTCACCTTTAACATGTGCTATTATAGTATTTTCTCTGGTAATTTTAATTATATTTGTGAAGAATAAAGCCCCACACGTAGCTAGTGCAGTGTATTTACACACTAACCTTTTACTATAACTGTAACTATTAAAAAAATCAGTGCTGTGGTTTCTTTTTTTAAAACCTATTTTCTATAAAGTTTTGTATTCCTCTCATTCCCATACTTCAAATATATGAGCTGAATTGTCTTCATGTCTTCTCCCTGTATTAAGTGGAATAAAAACAAGGCAAAGCAAATTGTTCAGCTAGGTGATCTTGAGTCATGATGTTACTAATTCTTTGACTTCTGTATTTTCCCCTGCCCTGTTTTTCACTTAATTCTGGAGTTCTTTCATTTTTTTGTATAATAAGATATTCAGGCCTGCTGACATGTATTTTCTTAATGTAATAGAAGAAAACACTCAAACTAAGATATCTACAGTTTTGGATGCACCAATTCAATCAGCATTATTTAAGTTCTCCAGTACTTCAGAGTTCCATCTAAAAGCAGTGAAGATATGTTTAGCAATTCTGCAATGCAATAAAGTGTGAAAATTTTGCTGTGTTTTCTGTTCAGTGTTGCAGTGATTGTATTGAGGTGTCTATTAATTGAAAAGTTTTGCCATGGAAGAATAACGTCAGTGCTTTATCTTAAACATTTGAGGTACTATAACATAATATGTCTGGAGTTTTCAAGAATAACCACCCTTGGGCATCAGGAAAATACATGGAAAAAACAAAGCAGAAGTTTTGTTTCATGCATGTTCAATATGTGACTTCTGTAACAAATTATTCAGCAGACTTCAGGAAGCTTCAGGGAATGTATACATATGAAGCTTTGTCTGTAATATATAAATTGTTGAAAGAAGCCTCCTCATTCTTTGAAATACCTGCATGATTCTGTAATGTGTAATCCAGGTTTCTAGTTAATGATTATAACTATCATTTTTACTCAGATGAATTCTGTAGAACAAATTTCCAAATCAGAGGAAACTGACAAAACAGAGATCAAACCAAAAAATGCAAAGAAAGCATTAAGCACTTTTAAAGGACCTTTATTACATATCAGGTAACTTTCTTTAATTTTTTTCCAATGTGCCTTGGACACTTGAATACTGAATTAGTTGGTTTTCAAAATAAACAATTTTTTAGACTATTAGAAGGAAAACAAGTTAAACATCCTTTTAAGAATTACAAAGCTCAGAATTTTTCTTGGGTTTTTTAGCAAATCTTTTGGTGTCACCATTGGCATGCATTTTGTACTAATTACTAGGTCTACATTTCATAGAATTGTAGAATCATTTCATGATTTCATTTATATTGAGAAACTGTTATTTGATTTAAAGCCGTGCCTATCTGTAATGAGAGCAATGGTTTGACATTGCATTGCTGTAAAAAAAGAAAGCATTTACAAAGACAGCTTTCACTGCTAAATCTTGCTTGAATTCTTTTATCCTAAGGTAGTATAAAGGCCTACACTACTAGTTAGTGCTAATTAAACTTAACAAATGGGTCCAATTTATTTTGTTTGGGATGTGCTCTGTATAAATGGCATATCTGCTGAGATGTTTGTCATCCAAGATGCTTACATCTTGAAATTAATCTGTTTTTTATTGTTAAAGTAAAAAAATCAGTTGGCCCATGTAACTTCTTTTCACTGCCTTTCAAATTAAGATGCTTGCTTAGAAATTGATTTAGATGTTAACTTTTATTTTCACTTCCAGTTTGCTATTAGATGAATGAAGAAAATATCTAATTTATAGGTAATTGCTTAGCTAATTTTGTAAGTGCTGTACTGAATTAGTTTTGGAATGAATTTGAATAATGACATGCTCATTAGCATCAAAAAAGTATTTTGTATATCATTTTCCTGGTTTTGAACTGAATTATCTTTAGTCTTTTGTGCAAAAACCTCCTCTGTATAGGCTTTCTGATGTTTCTTGTGTGATGGAACAAAGGCATAGACTGCAGAGTTATTACTTTAAAAGAATATTTTTCTGTGCCTATGACAGAACAACAACCCCACAACAAAAAAACCCCCACTCAAAACCAGCAAGAAGCGCAACCATACAACCAAAAAAAATCCCAAACAAAAATAGCACCCAAAACCCCCCCACATGAAGTTTTAATTTTACCCTTAGAACACAAGTGTTGGAGTTCATGTAAATTACATGAAAGAGTAAATTTAGTCCTATGTGTGCTAATACTTGTAGTCTTGCTGTCATGGAAAATAAAAGACTGTCTCTCTTGTCCTTGCTGTTTGTTTTTGTTTGGTTTTTTTTTTAAAGTAAACTCTTGAGAGTATGTACAGTTACTCTATATTAATACTCTCTGAAGCTAGAACTAGCTTTTTTTTTTATCTGGAACCTTTCTCAGGACCCTGAACTGGAATATATTGAACTGATAATATGTAGTGCCCTTTATGACTAGTCACAGGCACCTGTCTCAGAGAATATAAGTTCTGCCAGTGTAATCAGCTGCTCTCCTTGCTCAAACCAGCACTGCCCTGTGAAGAGAGCAGCCTGACTGAGCAGCTGAGGAACAGCAGCTCTGCACCATGTAGTGACCAAGAACTGGCAGCCTTTCTGCACCCAACTGCAGATGCAGAAGACTCAGTTGGGGACCTCCTTAAACCCCCTGCAGGCAACTTCCTTACTTATCACTGATTCATATGTCTTTGCTCTAGTATGTGACCAAAGCTGGGTACTTGTACTCTTCAGATTCTCATCTTTGTAGTCATGTCCTCTAGTCACCTGTCTCACTGGTTTAGACCACTCTTGCTTTTGCCTTGCATACCTTTCTATGACAGACTGGTCTTTATTGACCTTCTTCTATAATAAATTACTTCATTTGAGAAGATAAAAAGCAGCACTTTACTTGCACTGTCTGGCAGTAGTACATGCTGAAATGGTTACCCTGTGCACATCAGAGTAAAGAAAGTGTTTCTGTAAAAATTAAAAAGCTAGATGTTCATTTAAAATAAAACACCCCACCTTTCCAACAACTCTACTGCATCCTCCCCCAACACTATGGAACTGCTTCATTTCACAGACAATAGGCCTAGAGCCCCAAGGGGGTTTTTTTTTTGGTCAGTAGCCACAGGTGGTGGAACAAAAAAGATGAGGTTCTGGCAGAATGTTCCTTTCCTTGAGCTCTTTTTGTGCCGTATTTTGATACTAGTTAATGCTTTTCTGCCTCATTTATGGTTCATCTTGCAATTGCTGTAATGCACAGCTGCAATAGTATTAAGATATCTAAAATATTTTGTAACTACAGTCCTTCCTTTCCATACTGTTGTTTACTTAAGTTGAGAATTTGGGAAGGAAAAAAAGATGAGAAGGGGATACAGTTACCCTATTAATCTGTTTTAAACCTATCACTTTCTTGCTTACTACTGCAGTCAGCACTTTCTTCTTCCACACCAAAAAGAAAAAAATTCTTGTCATGCGGACTGTCTAATGCGTTGTAAAACATAGGCATGCACATACATGCAGAGTCACTATTGAACTCTGCTTCTAGTATGGCTATTTAGGTTTGCCCTGCAGCACCAAGGACTTTTCTTCTCAGCTAACACTGATTTAAGTGAGCGAAGAAGGAAGGATTGATACTGTAAAAGGAGGTCTTCTGAGGAGGAGGTTAAGCAAACATGAAATTGGCATTCTAGAAAGGGAAGAAAAATGTAACATGTTTTTTGAAAAAGGCTTTCTGTCAGAATAAGCAGTTCTGTAGTATTGCAAAGTATGGCAGTTCTTTGTGACATATTGAAAGAAAAGAGTTTTTTCACTTGTTACTTGAGTTTCCTCTCAACTTGTAGTATATGAGCATGCCCTACTTTTTGCCTAATAGTGTTCATTTGAATGTCTATTCCAAAATGAGTTGTGATAGTTTGATATGGTTTAAAATACTTCATGCATGACTCTCCTAATTGGAGAATATTAAAAATGAGCAGTAACTTTATTTATGCATGTGTCACCAGTAGTATGTGAAGACTGACTCATAAGTACAAGTGAATTTAGCTGTAGTGGTTGAAATGATTGCCACTTGCAGATATCTGCCTTCTCTTATGTGTGCGCTATACCTATTACAAGGATAGATGTATGAGGTGGAAATTATTCTTTAATATTACCATAAATTAAAATTAATGAGGATTTCCCTTAATATACTGCTCCAAGATGCAGTGGTTGAAGTGAGCGTATATATCTTGGCTATTCCTGCTGGTGCAGGTGGTCACATTCTTCCAGATGGAAGAAGTCAAGGTCAGTAGTCATCTGAGGCAGCTAGATCTACTTGTGGTTATGAGTCAACCCTGAGCTTCACTACAAAATTTCTGCATTTTGTTTTCACAGCTTTTTTGATGAAAAACTTTATAGTGACTGTAGCTACAGGATTGAAAGTATTTTATTTTCCTGTAGGTGCGCTCATTTTTTTCTATGATATGTTGTAAGGATAATTGGAAGAAACTAATTATTTTAAAATTTCTTAATAGCCCAGCAGAAGAGTTATATTTTGGATCTAAAGAAACTGGAGAGAAAAAGTGTTTGATAGTTCTCACAAATGTCACTAAAAACATAGTGGCTTTTAAGGTAAGTATTTTATGTGTGGCCTGGTTTACTTTACTAAATGCGTAACATTTTCTTGTTTTGGTTAAGGAGGAAAAAATACTATTAAACCCACTTTTCAGTCTATATTTTTTATTCTCTTGTGATGTTTGAAGCAGATCAAAGAAATGTGGCTGACTTTACACATGTACCACCCCACAGGGGATAATCAGTAGTACAAATCTTTGGAGCACTGTCTGAAAAAGTGCTATGGTGATGGTTAGTTCTTTACTGAGAGTCTAATACTTAGTGAAAAAGAAAGTCTTGAACATTGAAAAGTCATCTTAAAGCTTGTCTGGGAACAAGTTTGTAATGCTCCAAAATAATGCAGATAATCTGCAAATGTCACCATCAAAGGAATGAAGTTATGTTTGCTTCAGAAATACTGACTTGGCTTGCATCTTTGGTTTTCTAACACAACTTCCAACACATAAATAACTAAAGTTCCTATACTTTCATATTAAAAATTTTAACAGACAGTCTGTTTGATATTCTGGGATCTTTTTAAATACATATGTCAGAGAGAAATTTGCTAGAAAATAAAGGATAAAAGTTGTCAGGATAGAAGAAAAGGTGAAATACCTGTGTCTGATGACTGCTACAAAATGAAGTATTCTAAAGACTGTATGTATTACTGGGTCTTAATATTTAAGATTTTGGGATTTTAGTTATTACAGAATGAGGGAGGTTATGAAACATCAGTTTGTGCATGCATTTACTATATGCTGGGTTGGTATTTTTTGTTTGTAGGTGAGAACAACTGCTCCTGAAAAATACAGAGTAAAACCCAGTAACAGTAGCTGTGAGCCTGGCACATCACTGGATATAATAGTCTCTCTTCATGGTGGTAAGTAAACTCTTACAATAGAAATTTTAAGGAGTTTGGACAAGTTTTATTAATAGGCTGATGCTCCAGATACTAACATTTGTAAGTGCTTGTTGGGTTGTATGACTGATGCCCATGTCTGCTTGACTGTTGTATGAAAATGTTACTGTTTGTAAAAACACATGGATGTCAGACAGTATTTGAGTATCTGCCTATACTGACTTACCACTCCACAGGCATAAGCAGCTGTTGACTGCAACCTGTTCTGTTTCTTGTCTCTGAAAAAAAAAAAGTTGCAGTGGCAGCTGTCTCACTTGTGCTCTATTATGGTGGGAGTTTATCTGCACTAAATCAGTTTCCTAAATTGTTGCAAGGACAGGGAGAGGCAAATTTGCTGGAAAATGCATTCTTTACAGACTACTGGGTTGTCCTCGAATCATTCAGATTAAACTAATTCCGTTAAAATGAAACTGTAGAATTTTAGGAAAAGTGTAATCAAAGTTGTTGAGCTTAAAAGAATGATCTCATTTTTATTTCTAGTAAGTCATTCCTGCAATAAACAAGTTCTCATTTTAAAACTCTTTTGTTCAAAAATGCCTCTATACATTTTGTAATAATGCCATTTTATCTAAGTACACTTTTGCTTTTTTCTTTTCTTTGAGGGTAGGTTTTGCAGCTTCTCTGCAAGATCGTTTCCTTATCATGGCAGCAGAAATGGACCAGTCTTCTGGAGCAGGTGTTCCAGAACTGACTCAGTTTTGGAAAGAAGTCCCTAGGACCAAAGTGATGGAACATAGGTGAGCATTGACAGGGGCTTTTCTTAGCCATTGTTATTTAGCTGATTTATTACACTTGCATATCATAATCACTGAAGGATTCTTCAAACCCAGTTGTGTGCTTACTGATGGAAGTATATTGCTGAGGCTTCTGCTCTGTTTAACTGATTAGAGATTTTTTTTTAATGTGTAAAATGCCATGGTATTCTGCACATGCACTTCTTTTTATTGTGTTCTTGTGCTGATTAAGAGTTAAGTGGAAAAAATGTGAATAGATGTGACAATACACATGGACAGTATATTATTTTTTTAAAATAAGAATGTGCCACTTGAATTTTCTAGAAAAAAGCAAGGAAAGAAGACATATGAAATGCAAAACTGTTTTCTAGACAATATTAAAAAATACTCCCTTTCAGCTAGGGAAAATCATTTTTGTAGATTTCTGTAAAACCTGTTGCATGTTCATATGCATGTTTTCCATATTTAATGCTGAAAAAATGCCACTAGGAAAATATGTTTCCCCACACACTCTTTTAAATATACCTGTTACTTTTCTCTCTTTCATTCATGTTTAGTTATATCACTATATTTCTAGGAAAAGTTCACTGTAGTTCTTTTTGACCTGGAAGTCTTAGAGCTATGATATTGAGATGCTATTTAATCTTTTAAAAAAAGTAATTTGACTGTATTTTAACTTTAGATTGTTCCTGGTTTGGGGGGGGGGGGGGGG